TATTACTCTTTCAATGCCAGCTGTTTCAGACACTTTATCATCTTTGTCTTCTAAAATTTATGCACCTTTTTTTTTATTGCTGGAGCACAGTCGACATCATCTTCTGCTATCAGTAGAATTTCATCGCTGTCGATTTTATCGAGCATTGCTGTGTTCAAAACCTTGCACAATCAACACGTGGGCAATAAACAAATTGTATCAATCGGTAATTGATTCATATAAGTGCAAAGTTCATTCAATCTTTCGTCGCAACTACTTTCTTTAAAATTGATTTTTCTAGACTGAAGAACATTGATGTCAGAATCCGTTACTAAACCTATTCGTATTCTAGAAAGTATATCACGATATGTATTATCGCATCTTTGTCGCATATTAATCAAAAGTTTGTCATACTCGAACAATCTCCACAAATCACATCCACCCATGGTACCTAAATACTTCTGAATCTCTGATCGAGACATTTTAACAAACGAAAATTGTCCTTTTACAGGAGGAAGCTGCAACAAGTCCCCAAACAGGAGAATGTGTTTTCTGCCAAAGAAACCATCATCTGTATCTGTCGTATCAAAGATTTCACATAATCGTAGATTGATAAACATAAGTGTCACATTTGAAATCATGGATACTTCATCGATTATAAATAATTCGACATTCTTTAACTTGTCTCTCAAAGTTTTCAAGACCATGTCTGACAATTGCGTATATTTTGGTGTAGATTCATGACTAACGGGTAGTTGAAACATTCTATGGATTGTCAAGCCATCGATATTGAATGCTGCGATACCCGTGGGAGCAGATATGGCAGTCGTTTTTTCCAAATTTATTCTGATCCAATGTTTAATCGTTTCAATTAGAAAACTTTTCCCTGTACCACCCTCGCCACTTACGTACAGTCGCAGAATCTGATTCTTATCTTGTAAAACTTGGCATACTCCATCAAAGACTCTTTTCTGGTCTTCGTTCAATTGCGACATCATTTGCGATAAATCAATCGGGTCGTCAATCTTACCAAAATCTTCCAGATCTTTCATCGCGTCGTCAGCTTCTATCGGATTACAATCCAGTTCATCGTCATCGGATTTGTCTCTGTCTGCTGTTTTCAGATCATTTTCGCGCTTCTCGATTAATTCAGCAACGTTCTCAAAAGCTTTCTGTATTTCTTCGAGCCTTTCGTGATATTTCATTACCTTCGTTAAAACAGACTCTGAATTCTTAAAGGCATCCGTGTAAGTCTCGAATGTACCTTTGAGTTCACTCAAATCTCTCCATGGTTTGAACAGAAGAAGCAGCGAGTAAAAGTATTTTTCGGGCTCAGTTTTTATATTAAATCGATAATGGTTAATTAAATAACCCTTTTTTCGTTTTTTTAAAAATAAACCCGATGCCAGTTTGTAACACTTGACTTCGTCATTATTTGGCATCTGTTTCGTAATTTCCCAGAATCTGGCAAAATCGTACAAATTCAATGATTCTAATTCCTGAGGTCTATTTGGATAGTAATCATCGATGAGTGACGAACAGTAAATATTCGTAGAATTTTCATCGAGAGCTTTAATTTCATTAAATGTTTTAACTTTTCTATTTCTCACCTCATTAACATCGATCCATTTGACCACGGTATCATTATCCGTACCGTACAAGGGATTCCCTAATAGTGTATCCGCAGCTTCTAAAGCACCGCATTCTCTGTTATTTAATGAACGCATTGCAAAATTCCACAGTTTCGATGCCAAGGACTTATTCGAATCTATCACTTTAAAGTCTGTATTGCATTTTTCCGACTTTGTCGTGTATTTTGTTAAATATGAGTTTAAAAACTCTGATTTTTCTCTAATAAATTGTATGTCCATATTTCCCTCCCAGGCTAATTTGATAGCCGGATTATAATCATTTATAAACCTTTCCGACTCCTTGCGAGGAAGATCGTACAATCTGCTCTTACTGCGTAAATTTTTGCTACCGACTATCGAAGTGATAACGTCTCTTAAAACGAAATTCTCAGTAACTGGCCGAGGAAAATCGAACCGACACTTTCTGTATATATTAATTTCCGTTTTTTTCGTACGCATGCAACACGAGTTATGTTTATGATTCTGATCACTTATTACCGTATCGTACAACGTTGGCGAAACATTTTCATCTGGAATTTCACACGTTACGTATTTTTGAATAAACGTAGCAACTTCTTCATCCGGCGATTTTCCTAATACTGGAGCATCCAAATCATACAATGCATGTGCTGGATACTTCTACGTTGATATTCCAGTCGCCAGAAGTAATGAATAACCTTTCCTATAGGATTATCGGACGAACAAATAAAATCAATCATGGCTTTGAATTTTATGCACATGAATCTAGAAGTACTTACAGGATCGTATGCGATTAGTTCGTTGATGCCTAACTTCTCTTTCAAAAACTTCCAAAAAATAACTGTTGTAGTTCATCAGGAAATGGTGATAGAGATTCCAATATAACTTTTCCATGACTACAACAATCATTGAATGAATTACATTTATTATAAACTTTTTCAGCGTGAAAATGTTTTGCTTTACAATATTTGCACTCTACTTCCATTTTTCCTATGTAATGTTGATTTATATTATGATAATTTATGTTTTGAAATCCTTTATAATTGGCTCGACAATTTTGCATTTTTCTTTTATCTGTGATATTTTGTAATTGTATATTATCAATTTCGGAAAAATTATCATTTATATTTACTGAAATTAATTGACTTGAATCTGTAGTATTTTCAACACTTGTAAGTGTACTTTGTTCATGGTTGACAGTTTTTTTAATTATATTAACATTATCGTTATCAAGTTTTGAATTTGAAGTTATCAAAGAACTATTGCTCGATAACTTTGATATGCAATTGTTAATTGTAGTAACAGAATTGCTCAAAGTCGACGTTGTAATAACACATTTTATTACTGATGAAGCAAGATAAATATTGTTTGTGACCAAAGGATTTTGCGATTTAGACACTGCAACTGATGAACTATTATTTAATAAATTTCTTGATTCACAAACTTTAGATGACTCAGCTATATTGTTTGTTGCATTTTCTTTTTTTCTCTCGCGGTATTTTTGTTGATTTAAAGCCTTTTGTTCTCTCTTTAATCGCTGAAATTATTCTTCTTCCTCTCGAGTACGAATAGCTTTACGTTTACCCATTTTTAAATTATTTTAATTAAATCTTTTTTGTTAAATGTTTACACAGATCAATAAAATTTAAATATTATAAAATGTAACAAATATAAATGTATATACAAACAAAATATTTGTTTATATAAATTTTAAATTAATTTTTAGTTAATAATTTGTAGTTAATAAATTAAATAACAGACTATTATATAATTTTATTAAATTTTATTTAAATGAAAATAGCACACTGATGATTTAAAATTAAATAAAATATTACATAAAATAACTGTTTTTATTTTACACAGTTGTTAAATTATAAATTTCAATATTGCACTTACATTAAATATCAATTTAATAATAAATAACTATAACACGATAATATTAATTTAACATTCAAATAAAAATTTAATTTAATTTTATATAGCAAATATAATTGTTATGTAACAAGTATATGTATAGTGTTCTTGATAATAAAATATTTAAATGTAAATCAAACATTCATTAATTTCTTACAAATTTCAAATATCAACAATTAAAATATCAAATAATACTTGTAGTGTTACAACTATAATGTCAAATATTTATGTCAATTTTTATCTAAATTTTCACAATTATGTCCAATTATCAAATTACAAAAGCTGGATTGGAGCTTTGTTTTAGCCAAAAAAATAAGTGGCTACCAAACCTGAAACAAAATATTTTTATTAGCTTATTTATTATTTACATATATTAGCTTATTTATTATTTATATATATTAGCTTATTTATTATTTATATATATTTGTCTTATTATGTGAAATATTTATTATTAATTCAAATAAAAATAAAATAATACCTGAATATGCTATATTTTGCTCATATATATTCAGTTGGATCATATATATTCAACGATAAAATTGTTATGTTTGCGCGAACGCGAGAAGGAGAGCGCGTATTAGAAGGCCGATAGAAATCATTCACTCTTCAATAATTAACACAGAATTTACTTTCACAATTTAACGATACAGTAATTTTACAAAGTTCCAATAGATAAGCCGAGATCGATTTCCAAGTGAGTGTGCGGTAATAATTGCGGTAATAATTGCGGTAATTTATAAGCGGTTTAATAGCGGTTGTACGTACTGAGACTCGAGAGACTAGCCGCCCAATTTTGGTGGGCGCTTCTTTTATCGGTGCGGTACTGAAGCCCCACTAATTTTTACTTCACCAATTAATTTCGGTTATTTAAAAATGTTCGAAGGTGACGCGAGGGCGCCTGTCTTTATTGGAGGCCCCGTAATTTACGCGAAACAAGCACGCACCTGACATGCGCGAAATGCTCGATAGCGAGATCGATTGGCTTTCGGAAGCCACGTGATCGAACGGCGCATGTCTATTACATTGATAATCAATGCGGTGATCGTTGCTTTCGGTTAAGCAATGTTGTTGTTATTGACAGCTTGTTAAAATAATCCTGATTTATCGCCTACTTGTTTATATCGGGCGAGCCTTTTTTCCGCGGTTTTTTCGCATATTCATCGGAAGAAAATATCGATTTTTAGACAGAAAAATACAGACTGAAATAATTATATTAATTTCTTCTCAATTTCGAACATCCCGCCCGCCTTGTCACCCGCTGACAATAAGACGCTATGAATGTTCGATCGCGATTGATAGTGGGGTAGGCGCGCGCCGGCGCGGCGAGATACACGTGATTATCGCGTGGAATGTCGCTCGATCAGCTGAAACGATGAACACGTGTTGACAGTGTGGTGCGATCAGCTGAGAATAGTGACACGCGGTTTCGATGTGAAATAATGCGTGTGAATGTGAACAGTGGTTACAGTGCGTATGTGATGTGTCGTGTATTTCTGTCTATGCGTTGCGTGTCGTTACGTCCGTTGTGAAGTCGGGAAGTAAGACGATTTTTACGAGCGGACGCACGAGCTCGGAGGTCGCGGTTCGAACGGTGACCACGCGTACGATCCCGTTGTCGCCGGGATGCAGTTTTGTGATCCGGGCGAGAGGCCATCGGTTTGGAGGCGAAATCTCGGAGCGCACAAGGCAGAGTGCTCCGATGTGAGGTGTGGTATCGACCTTCAACCATTTAGGTCGTGAGATGAGTCCATGGATGTACTCTCCCGACCATCTTTGCCAAAAGTGATCTCGCATCGCCTGGAGATGATGCCATCGTGATGCTGCGGATCCACTGGTGTCCTCCTGTACTGGCTCCGGGATGGCGAGAAGCGGCGCGCCGATCAGGAAGTGGCCCGGAGTCAGTGCTGTAATATCGTCTGGATCGTCAGAGAGTGCCTGTAATGGACGAGAATTTAAACAGGCCTCAATTTGTGTGAGGAGAGTGGTCAGTTCCTCAAAGGTGAGAGTGGTTTCACCTATCACCCTCCGCAAGTGATACTTAGCGGATTTGACGGCTGCCTCCCACAATCCGCCGAAGTGCGGAGCTGCTGGTGGATTAAAGTGCCACCGTATGCCATGTTCAGCAGCTACGCGTGCGATTCCACGGCCCTCTGTGGATGCAGCGACGAAGAGTTCCCGTAAAGTGCGGTCAGCCCCGATGAAGGTCGTTCCACAGTCGCTATATATGTCCGTACAGAGACCTCGACGTGAGACAAAGCGACGTAAAGCGGCGATGAAGGCCTCTGAAGAGTAATCCGAGACAAGTTCGAGGTGGATGGCTCTGGACCAAAAACAGATGAATACTGCGATATAGCCCTTATAGGCGCGGTGTCCTCGTCCCTTGCTCGTTCGGATGAGGATGGGTCCTGCATAGTCCACTCCGGTGCGCAGAAATGGCCGAGTCGGAGTGACCCGATCGCGGGGTAGATTACCCATCGGTGGCTGCAGCGTCGTTGCTCGCCATCTTGTGCAGGTGATGCAGCGATGTAGTTGCTGTTTCACAACTGTGCGTCCTCGTGGAATCCAGAAGCGCAGTCGAAGCAGCCCCAGAGTAAGTTGCACTCCGCCATGCAGCGTCCGACGGTGACAGGATTCCACGAGCAGACGAGTCAGCCACGACGAGGTTGGAATGATCATCGGGTGCCTCTCATCTTGTGTCAGCAGGGCGTGCTTAAGCCGACCTCCCACTCTCAGAACACCATGGTCGTCGAGGAACGGAGTCAGCTTGACTAATGTGCTGCGTGGTGCGACGGAGCGTCCAGCTGCGACTGCGGTGATCTCGTCCGTGAAGTGCAGTGTCTGCACTTCTCGAAGCCAGCGAAAGAGTGCCATGTCGAGTTCCTCAGGACTCAACGTTAGTCCAGCGGTGTGAGTCGGCTCAGAAGCGCGCAGCCAGCGACGGCACCATGCGGATATCCGTAGCAGGCGATGCAGAGATGAGAAGCGGAGCAGGATTTCTGGCTCGACGATGACCCGGTTGACAGTCATCAGGCTCGTGGCTTTCCTTTCTGGCACGTCGTCTCCTCGGATCTCCATCACGGAATTTGGCCAGGCCGATTCGTGCTGTGACAACCAGGTAGGTCCTGTCCACCATAAAGCGTGATTGATTAGTTCGCTTGGATTAATACCCCTTGATGCACAGTCCGCAGGGTTGTCGCGACCAGCTACGTGTCTCCATTGTGCATTAGGCAGCTGCGTCTGGATGTGAGCGACTCGATTGGCGACGAAAGTCTTCCAGCGTGAGGAGTGACCGCGAATCCATTGGAGGGTCACTGTTGAATCTGACCATAAGTACGTGTCTGATGTTGCCAGGTCGAGCGTTTGTTTGACATGTCGCGTCAAATTGGTGAGTAGCGTGGCGGCGCACAACTCCAGCCTCGGCAAGGTCACTTGTTTGACGGGTGCTACCTTGCTTTTGGCCATCAATAACCTTACTGACGTTTCGTCCTTTCAGTGATGCGGATGTATACTGCGGCTGCATATCCTCGTTCGGATGCATCGGCGAAGCCATGAAGCTGCAGCGAGGCCTTATCTGCTCCGGTCCCGAGCCAGCGTTTTATTCGCACCTGATCTAGAAGATGGAGTTCTTCTAGAAGACGTTGCCACTCTCGAGCGTCGGATGGCGGCAGCGGGGTGTCCCAGTCCAATCCTTGCAGCCACGTGGATTGAATGAGAATTTTTGCTCGAATCACGACTGGAGCGAGCCACCCCATTGGATCGAAGAGCCGTGCGGTTTCGGATAAAACCGTTCTCTTCGTGTGGTTGATGGCAGCGTGCGGATGAAACACGAAAGAGAACTGGTCGTGTTGCGGGTGCCAGCGGAGTCCTAGCGTGGAGTGACTCTCTCCTTCCCAAGCTGGCGGCAATTGCTGCAAACGATGATCGCTTGGTACTCCAGTCAGGATCCTCTCGTCGTTGGCTGCCCACTTCTTCAACGGAAATCCGCCCGCCAAGCAGAGGTTGCGAATTTCCATCTGGAGTGCGATCGCATCGTTCAGCGTATTTGAGCCGGTGACCACATCGTCGACATAACAATCTCGACGCAGAGCTACGGCGCCACGAGGAAACTGCTCTTCTTCGTCCGTTGCGAGCTGACGGAGTGTCCGTATGGCGAGAAACGGAGCACACGCCAGACCGTAGGTGACCGTTCTCAGCTGGTACTCTCGCACTTCATCATCAGTTGAATGACGCCACAGGATCGTTTGGAATCTGCAGTCATCCGGATGCACGAGTATCTGCCGATACATTTTCTCTATATCAGCAACGAAGACATACTGGTGTTGACGCCATCGGAGTAGTACGTCAGGAAGAGCTGGCAGAAGATTTGCTCCAGTCATGAGGTGTGCGTTTAAAGAGTCTCCAGTTCGCGTTCGCTGCGACCCATTGAACACGACCCTCAGCTTCGTCGTGGCACTGGACTCCTTGAGTACTCCATGATGTGGTAAGTACGTTGACTGATTGCTCGTTGTGGAGCATGTCACCAGCGTCATATGTTTCAGGTCTTCGTATTCTGTCATGAAGCTGCGATACAGATTGCCGAATCGAGGGTCCTGGACGCATCGCCTCTCCATCGTTGTGAGAAGCCGCTCGGCTGGTTTGCGGGTTTCGCGGAGTGCAGTGATTGGTGAGGAGAACGGCAGCTTCACCACGTATCGTCCTGAAGAGGTGCGAGTGTGCGTGTGCACGAAGAATTCCTCGCATTGCTGCTCTTCGGCGGAGAGTGTCGTGACTGCGTTGGGCTCCCGTTCCTGTTCCCAAAACTGCTGCACCAGCTCGAATAGCTCGTGATCGGCAGTGCACTGGAATGTGCGACGGTGCTCTTCTGCGGATGCGACGCCGGAGCCTCCAGAGAGGATCCATCCTAGCGATGTCTTCTGCGCGATTGGCATCTGAGGTCCACCCTTGCGTAGACCCTCTTCAAGAATTAAGGAGCACACCTCCGCTCCCAGGAGTAGCTCGGCTGGATCGTTCTCGCGAAATTGAGGATCCGCCAGTTGGAGTCCTCGAATATGCGGCCAATCTTCTGGTGTGCTGGACGTGGAGCCTTGAAGAAGTGACAGGCGTGGGAGTATAAACGCAATCACGGAGAGCCGGGCGTTCGTGATGTCCGAAGTGAGGTGCAGCGTGACCTTGCCACGCGTTGATCCTGGTCGTGCGCCTCCGATCCCAAAGATGGCCATGTCGGTGCGTGATCGAGGCAGGTTCAGTCGTTGCACCAGTGCTTCAGAAACGATCGACACCTCTGATCCCTGATCGATCAGTGCTCGGACGTCGTGCGGTGCTCCATGGCGATCGGCTACGTTCACCCGAGCAGTGGCGAGGAGTACAGCCTTCTGCTCCTTGGCTTTGTGCAGTGCGGCGAGTGAAGTGGCTTCTGGTGTTTGTGCGGTGACCGTGCTGTATGCGTCGTGCAGTGAAGTGTGATGACGTGCCTTGCATGTGTAGCAGTTCTTCTTCGACTGACATTTTGTAAGATAATGATTTCCGAGGCAGTTGAAACACAGTCTGTGCGTCTCAACGAAGGCCTTTCGATCTGCCGCGGATTTCGTCTTAAATTCGCGACACGTCATCAGATGGTGCTTCTCATGGCACAGTGCGCATTGTGGAAGGTCAGTTCCGTGCTTCGCAACATGTGTCTTCGCCGTTCGTGAAGACTCTCCGAAGTTCTTCTTGAGAGTCTTCGGATGCACGGCGTTAAGTGTGAACATCCGTCGCGTCATGAACTCCAAAAGTGTTTCGTGCGATGGTGACTTGTTGGAGTCGGATATGGAATTTTCCCATTCCATTCGAGTGTGTGCGTCGAATTGCTCGACGATAAGATAGTTTAGGAGGTCCATTCCGTGAGATTCAATGGGACGACCTATACTCTCCTGTGCGTTGACGACTGTGACGGCAGCGTTGTGGATGCGATGCAGTTCGTCAGCAGTTCCGTTCTTCATTCTCGGCACGGCGGTGAATGCGGCGAAGTTGCATCGGATGAGTTCTCTCTCATTTTCGTAGTGTTTGCACAGTATCGTCCATGCACGTTCGTAGTTGTCTCCTGTCACCGGTAATGAACTTATCAATTTTTCAGCCTGTCCGTTCAAACTCGACCGAAGATGATGCAGGCGTTCGATGTTAGAGATGGTGGCGTTATCACCGACGACAGACAGGAAGAGATCTCGGAAGGTTGGCCACTCGGAGTAAGCTCCCGAAAACTGCGGAATCCTGACTCGAGGTAATGCGGTTCGAGGAGCGGCTTCGTTTAGCTTGACGGTTTCCGAGGCTGACCGAATGCGTTCAGCGTAGCCGTCCAGGATGCTCCTTTGCTGTACGTACGTATTTTCAGTCAAATCATGGAGTCCTGAAGTAACGTAATCACTTTCTCTGAACTTATCTTTCAAGGCAATACGCAGCTGATCGTGCTGGATGACGAACTTATCCCAGGCTTGATCAAGAAGTCTGATGCGGGTAGTTACGGCACTGGATGTGATGTTAGGAGCGCCCATCTTCTTCAGGTATTCGACCGAGCGTGAGATTCGAACTTGGATCTCACGCTGACTATCTAATAATATAGCGGCATCCATGATGTGACACTTACAGTATTTCTTTTTCAGACACTTCACTCTCGTCTTCAAGAATGTTCACACGCGTGCCGGCGCGACGAACTGATAAAATATCCGGCTCGAAGGACCAAAATGTTATGTTTGCGCGAACGCGAGAAGGAGAGCGCGTATTAGAAGGCCGATAGAAATCATTCACTCTTCAATAATTAACACAGAATTTACTTTCACAATTTAACGATACAGTAATTTTACAAAGTTCCAATAGATAAGCCGAGATCGATTTCCAAGTGAGTGTGCGGTAATAATTGCGGTAATAATTGCGGTAATTTATAAGCGGTTTAATAGCGGTTGTACGTACTGAGACTCGAGAGACTAGCCGCCCAATTTTGGTGGGCGCTTCTTTTATCGGTGCGGTACTGAAGCCCCACTAATTTTTACTTCACCAATTAATTTCGGTTATTTAAAAATGTTCGAAGGTGACGCGAGGGCGCCTGTCTTTATTGGAGGCCCCGTAATTTACGCGAAACAAGCACGCACCTGACATGCGCGAAATGCTCGATAGCGAGATCGATTGGCTTTCGGAAGCCACGTGATCGAACGGCGCATGTCTATTACATTGATAATCAATGCGGTGATCGTTGCTTTCGGTTAAGCAATGTTGTTGTTATTGACAGCTTGTTAAAATAATCCTGATTTATCGCCTACTTGTTTATATCGGGCGAGCTTTTTTCCGCGGTTTTTTCGCATATTCATCGAAGAAAATATCGATTTTAGACAGAAAAATACAGACTGAATATAATTATATTAATTTCTTCTCAATTTCGAACAAAAATCAAATATCAATCCACTGTAAAAAAAAATTAAAATTATATTAACACAAAACTATTTAAAATTATTATTTTATCTTTAAAACAAATAAATTTTTATATTATCTATATGTATATGACAATGTATTTAATAGGTATATATTATATATTATCAATTGATATTATTTTGTATTTTCAGCAAATATTTTGGCAGTGATATCATTTCTTTTCAAGAATATAGTAACAAATATATTATATAAAAAATATATGAAATGGTAATACACATTTGATCTTAAGTGTAGTTATAAAGAAAATCTCAAAGTCAACTTTAAAATTTTAAATGAAAACCCACATTTTTATTTGATATTTTTCTATACCTTATCTCGAGAGCTTTTCAAAATATTACAAAAAAATATTTTTTTATTAAATACTTTTTTTAGTTATAATATTTTAAACAGTATTTTGACATAAATTACAAAATATCTCGTGAAATGTTTAATTTTGTGTAATTTTAACATTTTATATATACATAATATTATATACATCGTATACTTAATATTTTATGCACATGAGACAAATCAATTAATGTAAATAAAATATAGTTTTTTCTTTAAGACAACTATATATATATAATTTTATTGATCCCATCCTTTTTATACTATATCTTGTATAAATTTTATACAAACTAATTAATATAAATTTTACATAAATTTTTTAAAAACTACATACAATATTAAATTTATATAAAATTTATATACATTGTTCAATACTGGTTTTATATATATAAACTATACACGTACACACGCACGCACGCATGCACGCACGATTTGAAATGGAATACCTCATATATTTACATATAATATATATATATATATATATATATATATATATATATATATATATATATATATATATATATATATATATATATATATATATATATATATATATATATATACTTTAAATATATTTAAATTTTCCAATACTCAGCATATGTATTTTAAAGTTATATATTTACATAATCAATTATTAGAATATAACAGTATTTATATTTTTAAATGCGATTTTGTATTTTCTTTAATGATCTTATGATATATTATATTTCAAAATAATTTACCTTATTGTTATTATATCTGTCACTTCATATATTATTGAAACAAATAATTTCTTTGCTGCTCGACGAGAAATTTTCAAGAATTTTTAAGAATTCTTTTAAGGTGTAACGATATCTATAACCTTTTAAGTTGTCACACACAATTAGAGTATGTAGTGTACCTACTATTTATTTTCAAATCAATTGCTACCAATCTTTAAAACTAAAAATTTATTGTGCAATAAGTTGACATGTTCAGTTGATATTACATTTGTCGTAGAATAAATTTTTCAAACGTATTAATTGGCTGTAGCATAGAAAAATTTTCGAATCTAGACATTTTATTGGTCCATCAGCACATGCATAATAAAATTCAACCAATCAAATTCTTTATACACTTACATTATATGTCATGCAAAAGTGTGTGCGGCGGCCTTTAATGCTATCGCACACAAATTGCATAAACTGCATATGCATAGCATAAGACCTTATGGACCAATGAACATCGAGCATGTGATTCAATGCTTGATGCTCATTGGTCCATAAGGTCTTATGCTATGCATATGCAGCTTATGTAATTTGTGTGCGATATCCTTTAGTCCTAATAACGATGGTTGCTATGTAACATTGTATCATGGTAATGTCATTACGCATATATTTTAACATGTACATCGCTACGTAATGATGGTAACATCATCGTTAAAAGTAACAGACATCGTATAATTCATTTAGTATTATTAATTGTGCATAAAATTGAAATATTATTATAATTATTATATAAATTTGATTCTTTGTGATTTATTAAACTAAACGGTAAATATATATGAAGTTATATGAATAATTTATTTATACTAATTACAATTATATAACTTATAATTAAATATGTGCTTAAATCTATCTTACAATTAAAATATTGTATACATATATTGTATATTTCGTCTTATAGTCACTTAATTATGATATTTCAAAAAAATTTTCGCTAAATATTTGTTACATATATTAATTACAACTTATATTAATTATTTACAACTTATATTAATTACAACTAAACATTTATATATTTGCTAATATAAACTATTACAAAAAATTATTTTACAATTATTTATATTCCAATTGATTTTTGTTAAAAATATTTATATTATTTGTCTTAATAATAATATATTCTTATAAATATATATTCTTACTATATAATATTAAATTTTAGTTGCTATTTATATTTTTATTTTAAAATTGCGTGTGTACGTTACATTGAAATATTTTTTATTTAAAAATTCTAGGATAAAGCTACAAAGAAAATGGATAGCGAATCAGACATTTATCGTGAGTTGTGTGATAATCCAACATTATATGTTTCACCAAGAGAACTTTTCGAAGTTATGTTACCTAATGATGGTACAGTGTAAGTTTTAAAAATTTTTTAATATTTAATTTTTTATTCATAAATTTTTTATTCATATTTATTACTTATTCTCACTATTTCAGTATTATCGTCAAATTTGTAAAATTCTGTCAGTTTAAGAATAAAACTATATAATAGTAGCATAAAATCATATAAATGTAATTGATGTATAAAAGATACATTTATTAAAAATTTTATTGAACTTTTAATTATTTTTTTATTTTTTTAATAAATATAAAATATTAATTGTTTATATATATATTTTTTTTTAAGGTGTTTTATCAGTATGGTGGAACAAATCGACAGTACAATTGCTGTTAAAACTAAAAATGGTGAAGTTCAACGTTGTCGAGTAATTTTGACAAATAATAAAGACTGGAAGGTTCAAGTTACTATATGGGGCAATAACATAAATCGAGTTATACATAACTTTAAAACATCATTTGTAAGTTTTTATCACAAAATTAAAATCATTTTATTACAAATGTTTACAACATAAATTAAGACATTATTTTATATATTTGTTATTACATAAAATATTAACTGTTCTTAAAAAATCTTTTTATAAATAATTATAAAATGTAAAAATCAACATAATTTATAAATAATCTTACAATAAAATAAATAATTAATTTTATGATGTCAATTCTATAAAAAATTGAGATAAAATTATTAATAAAAATATTCTATAAAAAATGTTTTTTTTTAATAAAAATTATTAATAATAAAAATTAATAACAAAACTAAAATATGTGATATAATAAAAGGCCAACTTAACGAGCTTATATGCTATTAATTGAAAAATTTATTTATTAATTTACGTCATACTATACAAAAGTTGAGATAAACGTTTCGACTGTACGACAGTCTTTTTCAATATCCTAATAATATGTTAAAAAATTAATTTAGTCATATCGACCTTATTATAAATACAACAATTATGAGATTATATGACGAACGCAGTACAAAATTCATGTTTGTTGGCATGAGTTAGAGCGTCAGATGCTGTTATATTATGTAACGACATTTTTTGTCACGAACATAACACTTTTTTTATAAAAATTATTTCTTTTTACTTAACATAATCACAATGTGTACTTTTTTAAAAAACAAATCGATATCTTGTTTTTTAAAAAAGTACACATTGTGATTATGTTAAGTAAAAAGAAATAATTTTTTTAAAAAAAGTGTTATGTTCGTGACAAAAAATGTCGTTACATAATATAACAGCATCTGACGCTCTAACTCATGCCAACAAACATGAATTTTGTACTGCGTTCGTCATATAATCTCATAATTGTTGTATTTATAATAAGGTCGATATGACTAAATTAATTTTTTAACATATTATTAGGATATTGAAAAAGACTGTCGTACAGTCGAAACGTTTATCTCAACTTTTGTATAGTATGACGTAAATTAATAAATAAATTTTTCAATTAATAGCATATAAGCTCGTTAAGTTGGCCTTTTATTATATCACATATTTTAATTGTATACGAGCCGAAGTATAATTTATAAATTATATATAACAAAACTAAATTTTAACATTTAGAAATAATGTTAATTTACTGTTAGTAAAATATTACAAATAAAAAATCAATTTTATAATTTAAAAAAATTATTTACAATTGATCAATTAATTTTGATAACAAATTTTTTAATGTAAATTTGTTTTTATCTTGAATATAAAAAACTCATATAGGAAAGTTTAAGTTTTATA